TACATGAGAACGTGCTCGACAACCTTCAACCACCAAATTGTCTAAGGAGTCTGTGCATAACGGGTTACTGGGGTGCAAGGTCTGCAATATGGATGAACAATATCAATACGATCATCAATCTAGAGAAAATCAATTTGACAGGTTGCATGGAGTGGGAAACTCTTCCTCCTTTCAGGCAACTTCCCTTCCTCAAGTCACTGAGACTTGAAAACATGCCGAAAGTAAAATGTCTGGAAAGTAAATTTAATGGGAATGATAAATACCGTGCCTTTCCATTGCTTGAGGTGTTACATATTGAGAAATTAGAAGCATTAGAGGATTGGTTTGAGACAGGAGTAGCTGCTGAAGATGGATGTTTGTTTCCTTGCTTAATTCAACTGGAGCTTTGGGTCGCTCCTAAGCTTCGGGAATTACCGAACCTTCCTCCCTCTTTGCAACGTCTATCAATTTCGGGATGTCATCCAGAGTTAAAGGAGCGCTATGGAGAGGATGGAGGCCCCGATCGGCACAAGATTGCTCACATTCCTTATATCTATATTTTAACCTGCTGATACATAAGCAAACTTGTTTTAAAAAGATAACAAAGTAGCAATGTCAGCATAATATCTTATTTGTTTGATATATATGAAGTGTGAAGAATTCAATGTCAGCATGAACTAGTTTGTATCACTTGATCATGTACTCAATTTTTTTTTTTTTTTATGTGTCACTTGGTCTTAATATATTCTTCTTTTTAATTTCTTCTTTTTAATTGGCAATAGTCAATTCTTTGCTTCGTTGTCCTCTTTTTAGAGATGAAATTTATAATCGTCATCCTCTCATTTTTGGAGTTTGAGATAAAGCTAATAAAATCAAGTCAAATCTACTCAAATTGAGGATGCATAAGATTTTATTTGCATTAAATTAATTTAAATTAAGCTCGTTCAACTCGAATTGAATTAGCTCAAATCTAATTAAATTGAATTTTATTAAGATGAATACAGTTAGTCTAATTCAATCAAATAAGACTAATTTAAACCAATTTGATTTCGACTAAATCAAATTTATTTCAAATTAGTCAAATCAATTTGGTCCAAATTTTTAACATTCCCATAAATATCCAAATCAATTTGATGAGGACATCGACATACGCTACCGACATGTTTATAGACGATGGAATCGCAGATCGACGACCACGATTCAGCGCCTCTACTTTTGATTCAGATGTCATGATATATTATTTAGTATTTACTGTTATTCCGTTTTTACCCATGTGGGGAGTTGTTTTGTTATAGTAGCCTGGAGGGCAATTTTGTACTTTCATTTTTCATGAGTTGAGACCTATATATAGTGGTCTCATATGTTGTATTGGGTTAATGAATATTTTGAATAAAATCTTGTTTTTGTTATATTCTTCTTCTTCTTGTGGTGCACTAGAGAGGAGAACGAGAGACCAAGGTGAGGGTGAAAGCAATACCCACCAGCCATTGGAAGAGTCCGTGACTCGTGGTCTATCCCCCATCATCCCGGTCTTCTTTCTCTCCCCAACCCGCTGGCCCTAGTCCCTCTCTTAGCCGCCGGCCACCCCACCTCCACCACCAGTCCTCAAACCACTCAACCGCCGGCCTCCTCCCCCTTCCCCCACTTGTTCAAATTTTGAAAATTCAAAATTGATTGAGTTCCAAAATTTCCAAATTTGTCAAAGTCAAATTAGGAAAGTTTTCAAATTCAAATCAATTTAAAATTCAAATTGAAGTGGATCTCATAATCAAGCCTTCTAATTCAAATAAACTAATTTGGAAAGTTGATAACTCGTTCCCACCTCCTCCCCTCTCCCTCTTGAACCCGCCGGCCATACATTGGCTCCCCCTCATTGATTGCCACATTAAACCTCTCCCCCATTTGAAATTAAAAATTAATTTCAAATAAATCTTTCCCCCAAAATTTTAAATTCTGAAATTAATTTCAGGATTTGTTTTAAATCTTATTCAAACTTATTTATAAAGTTTTTTTTTTTTTTTAAATATGAGTTTTCTTTTCAAGTTGATGTCAAAAGTGAGATTTTTTAAAGCTCAATTAATTAAATATTTGATTGTAATAATAAAAATATATAATCCAATTACCAAAAATCAGATTGTGGTGCAGGACTCTTTTCTTTTGAAATTGCAACGACTCGATCTCCGGCTCATGCGAGGACAAGGCCAAATAGACGCTTCCGTTTTCAACGCAATGGCATGGGGATACCTCAAGAGAAGAATCCTCGCTCTCAGCTTCTCCCATTCGGAACCAGAGAAACCGAACCGAAGCCCCTTCCTCTATTTCTCATATTCTCCTCTTATCAGGTTACACGTCTGAGGGAATATCATGGTTTAGATCCATACTTTGATTCAATTGCAATGACAGCATGGAGCTCATCATTTTGCTTTTGTAGTTGGATTGGAAGCAACAATGACGACAGGAGAGAGCTCGCTGTCCGTCCACCATGGCTTAATACCTCAACCTGTTCAAAATGAATTGTGGGCCGACTTGTTCCAAACAGTAACCCGCACCGAGTTGATGACGAGTTAACTTGGTGTTGTGACCAATTTCGGGAGCCTAATAATCTATATCGTCAAAGTTTTTTTTTTAATAATTTATTTTTAGTTTTCTTCTGCATTATAATTAACCTATAAAATAAGTTTCTTTAATTTTATAAGAAATTAATAATTTAAAATTATTTATATATGTTGGTTCTATATATTTCTATTTCCATATAAATTTTAATAAATACAAATAAATTATATATGTTATAAAATAATTATACTTATATTTTTACAATTAAATATTTTATATTAATTAATTTTAGGAGAAAAACATTTTAAAATAATTATATTAAAATATATAAATTTTTATAATATTTTACTTCAAAAAAACCTGACATGAAGGTATTTAAATCAATTATTTATAAAATTAAATCTACTTAATACATATTTATAATTATATTTATATTAATGCCAATATAAATTTAATATAATGAAATATAATTTAATATTATATTAAATATATTTCTATTATTTTCTTATGTAATATAATTACAATATAAAACAATTAGAATAATTTTTTTACACATATCAATTTCATAATTTTTTTTTATGACAATAAATTCACAATATACATTTTCTTTCAACTTTTTATTATTCTTCTGGTTATAAATTAATTTAATTAATATTTAATATCTATATCTAATTATATTTATATTACATTATTACTATCTCTATATTTAATAAATATATAAATTAGTTATAAATAACATTTTTCTTTTTTTTCCTTCTTCTTTAAATGGCAAGCCGGCTTGCGTTGAGAAAGCAGACGTTTTGTGAAGGTGGGAGAATATAGAGTGAGTTTAGAAAGAATAGATAAGCCAAAGTGAAGTTTCTGTCATCTAAGGTTAGATTAATTCAACTACTATAAGATAACTAAAACAAATGCAAAGAAAGAGAAAGAGAGAGAGAAATTGATAAGAGTTTTTTTTAAAAAAATTCATATATTTAATGAAATTGAAATAACTTTCAGCTATATTAAATATTATGTTAAATTATTTAATTTAAATATAATGGTGAAATTAATATTGTAATATTATGTTTTAACTTATTAACTTCTGAGCTAAATTTAATATTATGTGAAAATTAAAATTATTGTATTTAATATTAATATGAAAAATTATTAAAATTTAATTAACCTTCAGCTATATTATATTAAGAGAAATATAAGGAATAGTAACATTACAATTCAAGCTGTATTTAATATTTTTCTGAAAATTTGTTAAAATTATTTAATATTAAAATATTATATTATTAAGTTGATATTAAATTAAATATTAATTAATATTGTACCAAATTTTAAATAATATTTAAAAGCATATAAATTAATAAGAATATTAAGTATTATCAATTTATATTAAGTTAATAAAATTAACTTCCATTTAAAATTTATAATTAATTTGTTACTCTTATTAAATTTAGGTAATAATTTATTATATAAGTGGTAATTAATGTGAAGTTTATATTATTAAATTTAGTTTTATTATAATTAAATGTATATTAATTAATAAAAAATAATTTTTAAGTTATTTTTATATTTTAGGTTATTAAAATACATAAATAATTTTAATTAATGTTTTACCTTAGTATCTTGAATAATACTTAGGCTTATAATGAATTAAATCAAGATAATATACTATAATATATAAGTAGGGGTGATACCGAGTCAAGCTAGCTCGGACTCGACTCGGTAACAGTTTCGACGAGTCGAGCTTATCGAGCTCGAACAAAGGTTTCAAGCTTGAAGGCTATCGAGCTCGAGCTTGAATAGGCGTCAGATTCGACTCGTCGCTCGACAAAGGAGCTCAACGGGAATGAGGCGGACAAACAACATCGAAGCCAACGCAACGAAAGGATCCAACCTCCAATTTGGGAACCCGACGGAGAACGACGACGGACCCGACCTCGATGGGAAGCGACGATGACAGAACTTGACCCTCGATCGGGAATGCGACGACGGACGACATTCTAAGCTCGACGAAGTTGCTCGAAAGCGGAATGGAGGTCGAGCTCGAGCTCGATATCTGGTAGTTGAGCTCGACTCAAACTCTTTTTACACATCTTAATTCAAAGTCATTCATTTTATTTTTATAGCTAAATTAACTTGATTGTGAATCTTTAATTTTTTTTTTAAAATATTAAAAAAAAAAATTATTTTACAAGTTTTCTTCTGAGTCAAGAGAAAAATTTGAACTAAATTATAATATTGATATTAATAATTAATATATTAAAAATAAAATCAATCTCAGATTTAACTCATTTAAAATGTTTAACATTTTTTAAAATATATTAAATTATATTATATACTAAATTAGTATCAAATTATTCATCATCATCACATAAAAAAACATTAATTTTTCTTAGTTTATATATTATAAGAAATGGTCATTTAAGTCATTTGCCCCCCTCATACTCTTATCTTGCCCCCTTTTTGCCCTAATTGCTTGTAATAAAGCATTCACGCTCACAGCCGCTCTTCTTCGTGTGTCGTAGCCCGCAGGAAGTTCTTCTCCCGGTCTCTGTGCGGTGCCCGGACGTTAGCCTTCCCAAGGTCGTCCACAGTCGCAGTTTCCGTCGCCGGCGTCGTGTCTCTCTTCAGCTTCTCCGGTGAGTTTCAGATTTATTTTCCATTGATCTTGTCTCTTTTCCATTTTTCGCATACAAGCCCGCAGTTTCAGATTTTTTTTTTCGTTCTTTTAGGCAAGCAAAGACAGCGGCGGAACTACGTTAGCAACAGAGGGGGCATAGAACTTTATTTACTTACTCGTGCTTCGTTATTTCTTTTGGTTTTTCGAGCAGGACAGCGGTGCTTCTCAGCTAAAATTTCAGGTATATTCTACATTCCCATCACTGCTATGTTTTCTAAACGAATTCTAGCGGTAGAGTTTATTGGACAAATTTTAGTATTCCTGCTATTTTTTTCCTTGAGTAATTTTTTTTAATTATGCATGATTCTACTTTTTTTTTTGGCTTGGTAGACGTATGTGTTGAGGTTTAAACAATTTAAGCTCTGTACTGAACAATGTACTGCCTCAGTCACTATGTCGATGCTATCTAATCTTCATCTCTTCCAATCAATCTCTGTTTCTCCTATTGTTCAGTTGTTCTGCTCTCTCTACCTCGATCATGGGTGCCATAGAGGTGAAGGGATGGTTTGTTGGTCCATTCATGAGCAAGATCATCAACGGGTGCTCTGATTACCTGGAAAAGCAAGTCGGATGGCAGACGGGCATGAATAAGGAGCTGGAAAGCCTGCGAAAAAACCACCCCAAGATCCAAGCTGTCGTCTTTGCCGCTAACCAAGCACAAATTAGCGATCAGAACCACCCTATCAACAAATGGATATGGGAGCTGCGAGATGCTCTTGATGAGGTCAATGATGTGCTCGATGAGTTTGAGTACATGAAGCATAAACAACAGCTGACCAAAAACATGGAGGAAACAGAGGTGCGTTCTCTATCATCAGCTGCCTATTTGATACTGGTTGCAAATAAATATATTTATTTGATAATTTATTTCTCGCTAATTTTATCAGGAAAGAACGGCATTTTCCAACGTGAGCTTTCTGGTTGACGGTTTACGCATAGCTGGCGAACGTGCTCTCAAGATTGATCCCAGATTGAAGGGGCTGGAGGAGGTTGTGCAGAAACTACATAACGTTTCAGCTGGGTTTAGTAATTTTCTTCCTCTTCTAGATATCGCAAAGCAGGGGCAGCAGGAGCAGCAGCGTCAGTTGTCCGAAGCACGTGAAACGGGATGCCTGCCTACTACAAATGATCTCATCGGGCGGAGCAAGGATATGGAGTCTGTTAAGCAGTGGTTGAGGAAACCATCAAATAAGCCTCGGACAAGTAGGTTCAGAAACATTTCTCTTCTATCTATAGTGGGCCATGGTGGTATGGGGAAAACAACTCTCTTGCAGCATGTCTATGAAGATGAAATGACAAAGGAATTTGATCTTAAACTGTGGGTTTGCGTTTCCAACAACTTTGATGTGAAAAAAGTCATTGCAGATATGTTATCAACTCTTAAGAAGGAGAGGCCTCGTTTGGATGACACACTTGATGCACTTCAAAAGAGTCTCAAGAATAAGGTGAAGTCCAAAAGGTTCTTATTGGTCCTTGATGACGTTTGGGAAGAGGAGGAGAAACGGGATAAAAGTAAATGGGGGATTGTGCTCGCCCCTCTAGCTTACGGGGATTTTGGTAGTAAGATTCTGGTAACAACTCGGACGGACTCAGTTGCATTGATGTTTGAAGAAGTGATTCTAGAAAAGACTGAAGCATTGAGATTAGAAGGCTTAGAGGACGAAGAATGTTTGGAGCTCCTCAACACCCATGCATTTGCTGTAGACAATCTTGATGATAAGAGAAAATTAAAATTAATTACTGCAGAGATAGCTAAAAAGCTTTCAGGGTATCCATTAGCAGCAAAGGTCATAGGCGGTATTCTAATGTCTAAGTTGGATGAAGAGCATTGGAGAAGAGTTTTAGATTCTGTTCTTGAAATTATTAAATCGGGTGACAATATTATCATGCCCATCTTAAGATTGAGCTATGTACACCTCCCAGAATGTCTAAAAAGTTGCTTCACATTTTGTTCTATATTCCCACAAGATTATGAATTTGATAAAGATGCTTTAGTCCGACATTGGATTGCATTGGATTTTATTCAACAGTCTCATATTCAAGGAGAGATTATGGAGGATATCGGAGGAAGGTATTTTGATGTTTTGGTTAAAAAAAATTTCTTTGACAAGTTTGGACGATACTACAAGATGCATGATTTAATACATGAATTGGCACAATCAGTTTCTATACATGAATGTTTAAGAGTTGAAGATGGTACAAAGTTTCCTTCTATAATTCCTAAGACTCTTCGACACTTGTTTGTCAAAACTACATATCCAAACATCATAAAAAAGATTGGGCACTTTGAACATTTGCATTCTCTTTTCTTGTTCCATTATGCTTCTAATCAGGATCTTTTCAATGCACTTATTGAAATATTCAAAGCATGGAGAAGCCTACGCTTATTATACATATGGGCTCTAGAAGACTTGAAAATAATACCTGAGGAGATTGGAAATTTGATGCATCTTCGATATTTAAAGATTGAAGCTGATCATTTAACTATGCTGCCAAGATCTCTCAGTAATCTGTATCACTTGCAATACATAATCTATGATGGGTCAATATGGGTCAACCTATATAAAGGTGATGACTTTGTACCAAGTGACATTAATAATCTTTCTAATTTGCGGTATGTGGAATTGCCTAAGAATTATATTTCATCGATACGTGGGATTGGGAAGTTAAACTCACTTCAAGAACTGGATATGTTTGATCTTAGAGATGTGAGTGGTTATAGAATTGGGGAGCTGGAGAATATGAATGATCTTTGCAAATTAGGAATCAATTACCTTGAAAATGTGAAGAACGTTGAGGAGGCTTGTAGTGCCAAATTATGTGCCAAGAGGAGGCTCACAGATTTGACCTTATGTTGGTGTAACACTTATTCAACGGACAATATCGATTTTGATGATTCTGATGATTCTTATGATTTAGATGAGAATTATTATGATGTTTTACATGAATACGTTTTCGACAACCTTCAGTCACCAGAATGTCTAAGGAATCTGAGCATAAATAATTACATAGGTACAAGATCCCCAATATGGATGAACAATGTCAATCCGATCTCCAATCTAGAGAAAATCGAATTGACATTTTGCAGGGATTGGGAAACTCTACCTCCTTTCGGGAAACTTCGCTTTCTCAAATCTCTAAAACTTTGTTTCAATATGAAAGTAAAATGGCTCGAAAGTAAATTTAATGGGAATGAAAAATACGATGCCTTTCCATTGCTAGAGGTGTTACATATTAGCTACTTGGATGCATTAGAGGATTGGTTTGAGGCAGGAGTAGCTGCTGAAGATGGATGTTTGTTTCCTTGCTTAATTGAACTGAAGATAGATGACTGCCGGAAGTTGAAAGAGTTGCCCTCTTTTCCTTCTAAGCTGAAGAGCTTGCAGATACGATATACGGGGTGGAAGACTTTGAATTTTTGTAGCATTTCAAATTCTATTCCTCTTGAGACATTAGAGGTCCTTCATTGTCCAAATATTACATCTCTTCCTCTGGCTGATGAAATAGCAAGATTTGCAGCACCAAGAGACTTGAGAAATTATCCAGAAGCGGAGACCAGTAATAATTGCCATCTCATGCTCAGCTATCTTAGCATAAGTGATCCATCCGTGTTGCTAATGGAGCCATTTAGAAATATCGCCTCCTTAAAAACGCTGAGTATTGAGTATAATGATGAGGTGGTTTCATTTCCAAATGAGGCGGAGCAGTGGTTTCTGAAAGTTAGTTCTTCTCTTTATGAGCTGCGATTTTCAGATCTCGAATCCTTACGGTCTCTCCCTTCCTACTTGGAAAGCTTATCTTCACTTCAGAACCTATATATTGATGCTCCTAACCTTCGTGAATTGCCGAACCTTCCTCCCTCTTTGAAAAGACTAACACTTCGGAGTTGTCATCCAGAGTTAAAGGAGCGCTATCGTAAGGATGGAGGCTCCGATTGGCACAAGATTGCTCACATTCCTCATATCGATTAAGCAATCTTATATATGGAATGTGTAGAATGCAATATCAGCATTAACCAGTTTGTATAATTTGATGGACTTAATTTTATTTATGTATGACTTGATGGTCCCTTTATATATAAATATGTCTTTTTTTTATAAAATATTTCGTTAAATAGTTCTTTTTAATTTCTTTTTTATTTCTCCAAATGAAATATTTATTATTTAATTTTGATTTTATACTTTTGAGTTTGAAATTGCAACATCAGCTCTTTGAATTTTAATCTGCTAGATTGTTGTTCTTAGCTGCACAAGTTAATCCACTTTGAATTTATTGACTTAATTATTAAGCATAATTAAATTTATAGATTTTAATAAAAATTGGTGCAATCCATTAAGTATTATTTAAATTATTGAATAAAAAAATATAAATATTAATATAAAAAAGTTCAAATCTATCTATATATATATACAACTATTTATTTGATATTTTTCATTTTACATTTAGTTATTGATCTTCTAAGCCTCATTATCTTTTTAATTTTTATATTAATTAATGAAAATTAGAATTAAAAAAAAATTATTATTATGATTTAATGCTTATGAAAAAGTTATTGTATCATTTAATTTTAAAAATAGTAACTTAAATTAATTGATATTTTTATGATTTCATTTTAATTAATAGGTGTCTGTCGTTAATTAATACTTTAGTAATTGGTACTTAATTGAGATAATGATATATAATTAATCTAATTTGGATTAGTTTTTTTTTTTAATAAGGATTTGTATTTCATTACTTGAATAATCTATTAATAAATAATTACTTGAGATAGTAATGTATAATAAATATGATTAATTATGATTTGTTTAGTTTGTTTCGATTTGTTAATATATATTAATTTTGTTAATAATAATTATTATTAAAATCATATTTGAGCTAACAAATATTAAAGCCTGAGATAAGTATCCAAACAGTATTAAAATTGCTATATATACGTAAAAGACTACAGTGAATCAAGCCATCCTAAGATAATGACTTCTTCACTTCTATCACGTTGATGATCTCTCATAGCAGGAAGAATAATATAATAATAATAATAATAATAATAATGAGATTAAGGGCTGTTGGTGTTAGCCATGTACACGTGGACGGCTTAGATAGGATCTTAAAATGTACTTTCTTTATATGTACCTTCTTGATTCATGGCTCTATCGTATCAGCTCTATATATACCCACTCTATGTACAAAGAACGTTAATAATAGAATCCATTTATTTCTCTGTCTCTTCTCTATTCCTCCGCCTCTCATCTTGCTACGGCATTCTATCTATCTACATGATATCAGAGCTCCTCTTTTGATCCGCTTTAATGACCGGCTCTACGGTGCACTCTTCCGCTTATCAGGCAGCCACCACAGATGAGTTCTTCTCCCCTCAAATCCCATCATCTTTCAAATTCTTAATGAGCAATGTCAAACACGTCATTGCTCAACCTCTCACGGCAGACAACCACGCACTCTGGCGATTGCAAGTTCTAAAGCTTTTCCGTGCTAACGGATACGAAGGATTCTTGACCTGCACCTCAAAATGTCCATCCCAAGATTCTCCAATAGCCACTTCACAATCGCCCTACACCACATGGATCTTGACCGACCAAAACATCGTCGCTGCGCTATATTCAGTCGTATCACCGACAATCTTGCCGTACGTCCTATTGGCAGAGCATTGCGCTGAGATTTGGTCAATTCATGATCACCATCTCCAATCCTCTACCAGATCAAGAATTAGCCAATTGAAGAACGAATTACACTTTCTCTCCATGAAAGACAAAACAATGAGCCAATACCTTCTTGACGTCAAATCCAAAGTAGACGCTCTCTCCGCCGCAAGATCCCAGCTCGACGCCGAAGACGTCATTCACTACACTCTCAGCGGACTACCGAACACCTACAAAGCGTTCAAGACAGCGATTCGCACAAATCTGCGCCCAGTTACTCTCGATGAACTCTACACTCTTCTTTGCAGCGAAGAGTGAAATCTTGCCCACGAAATCGCAAAAGATCTTCAGCCTCTCCAAATCTCCGGGCATTCCACGACACTCACCGCTACTCGCGGACGTTGCCGCGGATGGAACAACCCCAACTTGGGACGTACAGACAACAGGTCATCCCATCAATCCACCTGTAGAGGCAAATCCACACGTCCTTCTAGCACTTGTCAAATCTGCGACTAATTCGGACACTCGGTGATCAAGTGCTGGCACCGTCACAACGATCAGTACAACACTGACCAACCACCAGCTCTCTTCACATCTCGCACCTCCGCACCATCATCTGAGTGGTTCTTGGATAGCAGCGCATCGTCACACCTGACATCCGACCTAACTCATCTACAACATCCTCAACCTTATCACGACAACGCTCAAGTAACTCTCGGTAACAGGAACCACATCCCCATCCACACCACGGGCAAAGGAATACTTCCTACACCCGCAGGTAGTATAAAACTCTCTCAATTAAATCTCGTACCAAACTTAGCTTTCAAATTATTATCCGTTCACAAATTGACTACGGATAACAATTGCGATATAATCTTTTCTCCCTCTGGTTATGCCATTAAGGATCGAAAGACCAAATGTCTTCTTCTCACGGGTCCGTGTATTAACGGTCTCTACCCGCTCCAACCCACCGGATCTTTGCAACTCAAGAATCAGCAACTCGCTCTACTGTCTATCCAGCATGTCCTGGAACTCTTGCACCACCGGCTGGCCGGGTCACCCGTCCAGCCACACCTTAGCTACCATTGCCCACACTCACCGTGACATCAAAACTTCGACCACACATCATTTCTGTAACACTTGCAAAATGGCCAAAAGCCATAGGCTACCCACCCACATCTCTCACTCTGTAACGAATTTACCTCTTTATCTTGTTCACTCTGATGTATGGGGCTCCTTTCAAACGGCTTCTACTAAAGGCTATATATATTAAGTCTCTTTTATCGATGACTTTTCTAAGTATACATGGGTGTATCCGCTAGTTCGCAAATCCGAAGTCTTCGATAAATTTCTTGAATTTCAACGTCTTGCAGAACGCCAATTTAAAAATAACATTCACATCCTCTGTACAGACAACGGTGCCGAATTTATCAATAACAAATTTAAAATTTTTGCACTCAGAACGGCATCATCCACCAATCGTCTTGCCCCCACACTCCGTCTCGGAATGACATCGCCGAACGCAAGCATTTCCATCTAATAGAGACCACACGAACCCTTCTTCTCATATATTAAGTAATATGTAGCTGAGAATAGCTCTTAGAGGCAGTATTCTTCAAAATTACGATGACTACCACCACTACCATTATTACTATTGCAATGCAACTGTCATTCAAAAATCCAAGCAATGAGAAAGCAAACAAGATGAAGAACAAGGGCTTAATAACTAGAAAATCTAAGGCAATTTGATGTTTAAATAATTATCCAGTATTAAACGATGATTTAATCATAATAATTTAGGCTTCATTTGGGACCGCTTTCTTATTGATTTTTTAAACAGCTTTTTAGTATAAAATCTTTTTGTTTAAGAAATTTTTATACTGAAAATTTTATTTAGAAAGCAATTAAAAAACCGTCCCAAATGAAGCATTAGTCTCATTATGAATAGCATTCAGCATTCAGCCATGAAGCTTCGAGATATTCAAGAAGTTTATCCTCTTGCTTTTGTTTGGATCTGATTTTTGTTTTTGTTCTGGAGTTTAGCTTTGGTTAGTTGAGAAACAACATAGCAAAAACGGATGGAATGAAATTCGGGGGATGCATCATTTCATTATTGAAGTTGAGTGAGAATCATTAATCAGTTAGGTTTAATATTATGCATTATGATTTACTCTACTTGTAATTTAGGGTTTCATAAAAGAATAATACATTATTGGTAACTTCCAATCTTTATTTGCACATGAAGGTTATGCTTCATTCATCAAAATCAATTGAAATTTGATTTTTAGTTATCTTTTATGTATGGTCTATATAAAGATGAAGGGTGGTTTTAGGGTATAGGAAACAGCTTTTTACATAATATATTGTTAATACTTTTGTGTAGCGTTGTAAATGTGTCAAACTGGCTTATGAACTGAATCAGGCTCAACTAGTTAACAAACTTGTCGAGCCTTCAAAGATCAAGGTGTAAGAGGAAATTATGTTTTTGGGGGGTTTTTTTTTTGTAAACAATAATTTGAGTAAGAGTATCGGGTGTGGGATGATCAGGATGCTATCTATGCAAAAATAATAGATTGCAAACTTTCCAAAAACTCATTGTAGCTTGTGACTAAAATTCAAAGTGTAATGCAAGAGCTAGTAATGAGTGTTATGCTTTACTTATTCTTAAATGGGTAAAGATTTAAACTTCTTTGTTACATGCTAAGGCTACTTTTATATTTTTACCTTACAAATTTTCGAGCTTTTGGAGGATAGATATTGGCATTTACACCTTTGCAACGGAGCATGCATGCTCTATGCTTTTATGCTTTATTTGTGGTGTAGCCGAAATTCAAATGGCAATGACTTTAACTTTTGTAATTTATAATTTTCTAAATAATGTTGATTAATGTTATGTTCTTTTTTTTTTTGTATCCAAATTATTTGGTCACATAAAACGGCGGAGCATATACGTGAAAATGTTGGAGTAGCTCTAATGGAAGATAAGATTAGAAAGAGTTGCTTCAAATGATTTGGTTACATAAAATGGCGGCCTCCTGCTAGCTATGTTAAGAAAGTAGAAGTATTAGATTTGACTGATGTTAAGAAAGGTAGAGGTAGACCTAAAAAGACTTAGCTAGAAAATATTAGAAATGACCTTTCTTTATTAGATTTAAAATGAGAATTTGACTCTTAATAAGACACAATGGAGAAAAAAGATTCATATAGCTCACCCCACGAGTGGGATAAAGGCTTGATGTTGTTGTTGTGTTCAACTATTTGTGATAGATACATTTAGAATTGCTTATGCGTTGTTTTTCAAATTGAGTTGAAAGACTTATTTTTTTTATTTTTTACTAAATATGTCATCTGTGTATGACTATTTTTGCCTTGTGGAATTCTTAGATAGCTTGCAGTGCACCGTACGTGTGCAATTTGCATCCAACTATTTCAGATTGATTAA